GAGCGGGGGGGGGAAGGGAAAAAAAGAGAGATACAGAGGCAGAGAGACGGAGAGAAAGAAGGTGTTTCTAAATTCAAGGTCCCGTCTCTGGAAATTTCAAGCTCTGCCTCTAAGGTTCCTACAAACCTTTATTCTGCATGGGATCCTATGGGAAAGTGCCTAGTGTCCTTTGTACTTTCAAAGGTCCTACAGGTAAAGACGCTTTTATATATATATGTAATCTCGAAACCAAGAACTTCGTCAGGAGACACTCCTGGTGGTGTTTGGTTGGCTGGTGGGAAGGGTGGGCTTTTCTTTTTTTTCTTCGCTTTGGCCTCAAATTAAAGCAGAAAGTATAAACTCATCCCTTTTCCCCCTCAGCCTCTGCAGCCCCCTCCCCGTTTCAGAGCGTACACCTTCTTCTAAAAACTCAGCCCGCAAAAGGCAAGAGACAAGTAACAGCCAGCTATTATAACGGGAGCTGGACAACGGTCTTGCTGGAAGTTGTTAAAGCAGATACGAGTGGTTTGGCTTTTTTTTTTTTGTTTTTTTTTTTTTTTCCCCACAGCACAGCCACCGCTGCACGGAGGAGGAGGAGGAGGAGGAGAAAAGGGCACATCTTTGAGTGGGTTGGGCAGACCATTTCAACCGAAGCAATAGTGTAAAAAAAAAAACACACACACACACAAAAAAAAAAGCTGAAAATGAGAAGGGTTGTACGCTGTTTGCATGTGGATGTGCGGAGATACCCATGCGGCCACCCCACACACGCCCTCGCGCGCCTATAGATCTGAATGGCCCTCTTAGAAAAATACCAGGCTCATAAAGGGACGGTTTGCCATCACTTTTGTTAAAGTCTTGGAGTCATGTCCTGGAAGGTTGGCACAGGGCAGAGTGAATGTGCTTCGTGACAGCTAATGCTTTACAGTTTCGTGGCACCCTGAATTAAACACGTTTTACGTGCTGGGGGAGGGGAGAGGGAGGGGGAGGAAAAAAAAAAAGAAGCTAAAATAGATTTGACGACCATTGGCTTTCTGCTATCAGAACGGTATAGACAGTAAATCCTTACTTTCAAGTTCCACTATTATGACATTTCGCTTGCACTTGCAAAACATGACGAACGTGTCTCGAGTGATCATTTAGGAAATTAAATTGAACAAAGGTTCTTCGCTCTTTTTTTGTGCTTGTTTTGCACCCCCCGCCCCCGCAGCTTCCTTAAGTCTAATTGAGCAATTTCAAACAGGAGGACTCGCACCAATTTATACCCGAAACGTGCAATAAACCCTGGGTCCAAAATGCGAGGCGCGTACTCAGAACTGGCCATTGCAAGCTATACTTTCAAACCTAAAAAAAAAAAAAAAAAAAAGGGGGGGGGGGAAACCCCAGCCGTTTTCCGGCAGTTTTGGGGGATGCTTTTGCAACGTCTTCGAACGAAAGCCCCGGCTTTTTCGGCGGTGAGCTGGGCGGGGGCACTGCAGGCTCAGCCTGGCAGCTGCAATTGCAAAGGAGTATTTTAAACTTTTTGTTGTTGTTGTTTTGGTGTTTTTTT